CCAATCAGTCCGATCATGGCGGTGCTCAAACCGAGGACGAGAATACAGAGGATGATGATGAAGGTGCTGAGGATAACCGTGGAGCTCCACGAATTGGACCAGGCAGACCTAGGATCATACGCACTGGCTTTAGGGGAAGGCCGCGAAAAGAGTATAACATACTTAGCATGCTGTACAACGAAAACATAGAAATCCCAGCTACAGTGCAACAAGCACTAAAAAGTCCCCAATCACAGGAATGGAAAAACGCAATGCAGGAAGAATATGACGCTTTAGTGAAAAATCAAACATGGCAGCAGGTAAAACTCCCACATGATAAAAAGACAATAGGCTGCAAATGGGTATTTACGCTAAAAAGAAATCCAGCCGGGAAAATCGAACGATATAAGGCTCGCTTAGTGGCAAAAGGCTGTAGTCAAAAAGGAGGTATCGACTATGACGAAACGTTCTCACCAGTGGTACGTTATGCTACTATTCGCATGGTTTTAGCAATGGCAGCAGAATACGAACTGTACGTTCATCAGCTAGACGTCTCAACAGCATACTTGAATGCCGAGCTTGAGGAGGAGATTTACATGAGACCGCCAGAGATGTTTGCCAAGGATCCAAAAAGTGTTTTGAAACTGAAGAAATCTTTGTACGGATTAAAACAATCAGGCCGTGCATGGAACACTAAACTGGACAGCGTATTAACCAAGCTTGGTTATAAGGCATGCGAAAGCGAACCATGCTTGTACACAAAGGCAGCCAGACATTCGATCAACGTGATAGCAGTCTATGTGGATGATTTGCTGATAGCATGTTCAGACATGGGTGAGTTGGCAACGGTAAAGAAATCTATTTCTTATGAATTTCAGGTTGTCGATAAAGGACCAGTCTCGAGCTTTCTGGGCATTGAGGTTCAGCGTGAGGGTGAAACGGGCTCTATAAAAATCAGCCAGACGAAACACATCCGTGGCTTGCTGGAGGAATTGGGCATGAGCAGTTGCCGATCTGCTTCGACACCATTAGAACCCAATTTTCAAGTGAAATGCGACAAGGATACATGCAGCAAAGTCGACGTGACCGAATACCAGTCAATCATTGGATCTCTAATGTATATTGCGCTTTCAACACGCCCGGACATATTGCATTCGGCATGCAAGCTTTCTCAAAGAAACACAGATCCACACAGTGAACACTTGGCAGGTGCTAAGCACGTTCTACGGTATCTACAGTCAACTGCTGATCTGACCATCAAGTACGAGAAAACAGGCAAGGAGATCACAGGATATACAGATGCAGACTGGGCCAGCGATGCTACAGATCGCAAATCCTTCACTGGGTACACCTTCATATGGGGAGGTTCTGCATTTGCATGGGCCACTAAAAAGCAGGCATCCGTGGCTCTCAGCAGCACAGAAGCGGAGTATATGGCGTTATCCGAAGCAGCAAAAGAAGCCATATATTTAAAAAGCTAATTAATGAAATGAAATTGTCATTTAAATTGAATTGTATAACTATACATGGTGATAATTTGAGTGCTTTGAATCTTGTAAAAAATCCTGTTTATCACGCCAGGAGTAAGCACATAGACGTAAAGTACCACCATATCAGAAACTGTTATAAAGAAAAAATTATCAATTTAGAGTATTGTCCAACAAAAGAAATGATTGCAGATGTATTAACTAAAAATTTGTGTAAGGTAAATCACCAAAAATGTACTGCAATGTTGGGCTTAAATTAATTGTTTGCACCTTTAAGAAAAACTTTGAGTTTAAAATGAAGAATTATTGTTTTTGTCCTTAAGGTTGTAAACATGTGCGTGTGTTGAGGAGGAGTGTCAAAATGTAAAGCAATCAGGGCTTCTCAATAAGAAAAAGAACAACACACTTCATATTCACCACGGGCTCCTTTACGTACGAGCGACCGAGTGCTTTACGATCAGTTCTTGTGTGGCCGTGATCACGAGCGCGTGTTAATTTGCATTACATACATTTGTACTACATTTACTATTTGGTTATAAGTCTACTATGCTACTCAATAAAAACAATTAACAGCAATTTAACTGGTTTTTTCGCTGCCCAAATATTATGGCAATAGTGTTCAAAAAGTACCTTTCGTAGGCAATGCCTGCTGAATTCCCATTGAAACTTTGGCTCTTCGCATCAAAGTAAATTGGCTTGCATAAGCTTCAGGGACTTTCTATGCTTTTTATGTAAGCCCAGTTGCGAAATAAACCTTTCATATTTCTGGAAAGCCAAAAATATGAACAAAATCCATTTAATTACTATTCAAAGAGCCGTGAACACTTGCTGAAAGGTTTTCAAAAACTTCCAGTCAATTGAATTGACAACTAATGGCGAAAATTATGCGAAAACTTTGCAAAGAAAACTTGTACAACTGAATTTTATGAATGCCAAAGTTCTTTAATATTAGCAATTGAATCTGCACCACTTCTATTACCAAAAGTAAAAAACATTAAAGTCTGCTTCAGCGGAACACCAAAATATTTCTTCGCTTAAATTTAAGCGGTTTAAAGCAGCCGTTTTTGGAGGCAACGAGAGGCTCATGTTTTCCCACATTGTAGGTATTATAATATGCCAAAAGAAAAAGTTTCTGTAGACCGAAAAACTTGTCTAAGGAAAGTTTAATTTTCTGAAACCCCCCATCCAACCCCCTCCCCTTGGAAAAAGCCTTAACACCCAAGGACGGAATGTGGAAAGTGGGCGTTTCGCTGTGGTCATTGGCTTTGTATGAATTACAATCGATTTTCGGCGGATGGAGGATGGTTATCTATTCGTCTGTGTCTAAGTCGAGTGCGGTTTAGTTGGCCACCGAAGCGGCAAATAAGCAATTATGCTGGGTTACAATCGCCATACACGGCATACGTGGCGTATGCGCAATATTGCATTTGATACTCATTTTCTGTTCTGACTTTTCGCATAACAATGCGGCTTTGCTCGTGAATTGTTCGCATTGTATTGCGAGGCTTTTGTTTGTCGTCTATGCATTATATCTGAGAAGGAATTTATATGTGCGAGGTGCACATATTGTGAGTGCACCATGGTATTCAGATGCTTTCTAGCATATACCATACATAGGATCCACTCGGCAAGTCTGTCTTGTGCCATTCATTCATTCATTCACTCAGTCACTCAGTCACTCATTCACTGACTCACGGCGCTAAAGTCGCTCGAGTGGTAATTAAAATTATAGCAACAATGCGACGGCTTCTGGGCCAAGAAAACCATGGAGAGGGAGCAAAAGCCACTGGCTGACACAGAAAGCGAAGCGGAAATGTTGGATGTTCGCTGGTGTTTTTGTGCAGCACACACGCTAACAAGTTGCGGCTGCATACACACTTGCCCGGCAAAGGACACTCGCATACAGGCCAGCTTTGACATCTTGAAATATTTATGAGTGCCCGCCAACTCGACCCAAAGACGCTGGTGACAAGCCAAGAAGAGCCTTAAACAAAAACCAACAGGAAAATACTATATGCATTAAGTTGCAGAGCTACGGAATAGAAAGATTCTAAGCGCTACAGAAAGGAATTAAATATGTGAGCACTTTAAACGTATCGATTTACAATTGAAACACTGCTGGAATCCAAAGCGTTCCTTTATTTCTAAACTTCGGTTATTCGAGTTGGGTTTTTCCACTTGAGTTCAGAAAATAAACAGCGATCATTTTAGGGAAACATTGTTTGATTTTCCTAACCATTTACTTGATACCATTTTTAAGTAAACACTTTTGAATTTGAGGACCTAGACAAAATGTTTAATGATCATTCTTGATCCAAACTTTTTAACTCCACGGGAAATATACATTTGACCCAGGGAATAGCTCTATTTGCACGCCTCTTAAATACAAAACAAAAGTTAAATTTATTTGCAGAGTAAAAGCAAAGAAATGTCACATGAAATCCCAGTGGGTTAAGAGGTAGAAATTTACATGGGCCTCTCGTTGATCGTTTAGCACATCATTAACAAGAAAGGAAGCTAGCTTCGGCAAGCCGAAGCTTATATACCCTTGCAGTCATCAAATATGTCGAACAAAACGCATAAAGGCTAGACAACATCGAAGCTAAGACGATTTTTCTATTCATTTTCCATATTTTTGACTATAGATCATATGGGAGCTATACGATATAGTTGTCCGATTTTGATCAAATTTAACTCGTAATTCAAGAGTCGTAAGAACACTCTATATTCCAAAAATCATACTTGTCTGATGAAAAACAACGATGTTATCAATTTATTTCCATTAATTCTATATATAATTTTCGATCCCTCCTATGGCAGCTATATGATAGAGTTATCCGATTTTGATCAAATTTAATCCGAAATTCAATAACAGTTAGAAAACGCCATCTTGAAGAATTCAAGTCGATCTGATGAAAAACAATAGAGTGAGAATTTTTTATTTCATTCTCTTGTATTGGAGCTATCCGATATAGTCGGCCGATCCGGCCCATTCCGACTTATATACTGCGTGCAACAACTACACAACTTTTGGGAAAGTTTCAGCGAGATAGCTTTAAAACTGAGAGACTAGTTTACATAGAAACCGACAGGAGGACAGACGGACAGACGGACAGACGGACAGACAGACAGACAGACAGACGGACAGACGGACAGACGGACAGACGGACAGACGTACATACATATTTCGAATCTGCTCGTGATGCTGATCAAGAATATATATACTTTATGGGGTCTGAGGTGTCTCCTTCACTGCGTTGCAAACTTCTGACTGAAATTATAATACCCTTTTGCTCTGCAAGGGTATAAAAATGCTTCGCTGTGCAGAAAGTTTCGAGTACTCGTCACACTCGTGTGGCTGCCGTTGCCACTCTCGAGTGGCAGAAATAAATAATTAAAATTTACAAAAATCCCGACCAGAAGAGCACACAATTCCCGCCAAGGCCGAAGGTTAATGCGTCCTGTTTCGGCGGAGTGGGAGGAGGAAGTCTCTCATAAATTTTACTGGCCTGCTGACAGGGCAACTTCGCCTACCTTCAATTATTTACGAGCGGCGTCTCGTCCACCTGGTTAATGCATATCCAGCCTGTCGGATTTTTTCCGAGCTGCGGAGCCAGCAAGTCCCAGGATTAATTAACGACGAGTCCCCGCCGGACTTTTCTCGTGTCAAAGATTCTGCGGCGTGGGTAAAAACTAATTAACGTGTGTTTTCCCTGGCTTCTACGCAGTTGAAGCTGCAAATATGCTTGCAAGAGTTTTCCTTGCACACACACAACACGAGTCCTTCGATTCTGGTTCAATGATTACGCGGCAATATTTATGTTTCAGATGCACAATCTCTGCATATTTATTCAGTTTACAAACACCGACTTTAAATACTTTGTTGCAGCCGAAAGTGGAAATGTTTTTCCTTCTGTGAAGTGAAAATCCGAATTCGTTCCGCCTTTTTGCGTCGCAGTTTCGCTTAATTAACAGAGTCGACGACTAAACGAAATGTCCTTTTATACACACTTGTTCGCTTTTACCTTGTCCAAATGAAAGCTTTCCGCTCTCAACCGCTCTCTTTTGCCAGCTTTCTCTCCCAGTTATTTTTGCTCTTGCCTTTGCAAATACCCTGTTCACTGAAATGAGAAGGGTATGCTTAGCAGATTGATAGATATTTATTTCGATATAGTTATTAAGAAATTTTTTAACTAATTTGATTCATTTGATAAAAACTGATGATAAAAATATTTTTATTTTTTATTAATGTTTAGTATTTTCAAAATAAACTGTCGTTTTGGTATTTTCACTTGAATCCCCTTAATAATTATATTGCCCAAAAGCTCCGCTCTCACAGTTTCCTTGTTGCCTATCGCTCTCGCAATCTTTTCTCTCTCTCTCTCTCTCTATTGCTGCGTTACAGCAGGAAAACAAAACAAACAACAGAGCGGAGCGGATCCGGAAATGGTGCAGGCCAGAGACTGATGGCCGACTGATTGTGGCCATGTTGTCTGCCCTGCATCTGCTCTGGTATTGGTAGCTGCAAAAGTACCTGTGCAAAAGTGTGTGTGTGTGTGCGTGTGAGTGGGTGTTCATGTAACGCGAACAGCAAGTCAGCTGGGAAAAATACTATGCGGAGTGTACGCATCGGGAGCGGAGCGAGAGATTTTCGCGGCCCATTGAGTGTGAATTAAGAGATGCCGGCTTAGTGCAAATGCATGCATATACATACAGTTGTTTTCAAAATAATAGGAGTGACCATCACGAATGTGAAAATCGGTGAAAAAAACTATGTCAATACGAATTAAATTTCTTAAATTCATTTTTTTTAACAAATATGACTTGTATTAAAGTAATTAAAACTAAAAAAAAGTTACTTCATTAAATACATACTTAAAAAAAAAAAAAAAAAGGGAACAACACCCAATATGGGTTTCTCAAAATAATAGGAGCGTTCAAGCAAATTCTCTCAGAACTTTTGAAAATAATATATAACGATAAAATATGGTTATATTAAGTAATTTAATGTTAAATGTAATTAAAAAAAACTATAATTAGTACTTCGTGGCACCACCTTTATTGGCTATCACTGCCGCACAGCGCCTTGGCATGGAATCCACCAATTTCTGGCATCTTTCGGGACGAATCGAGGTCCAAGAGGCCTTTACAATTTCCCAAAGCTCGGAAACATTAGTTGGATGCCTTTCTGCGACCGCCTTTTTAACGTCTGTCCATAAATTTTCAATCGGATTCAGATCGGGGGGACTGGGCGGGCCATTCAAGTACTGCAATCTTATTGTCTGCAAACCACTTCTTAGCCACTTTACTTGTGTGCTTTGGGTCATTGTCTTGCTGGAAGACCCAAACCAGTGGCATTTCTTCGCTAGCATAAGGCAGCATTGTTTCCTGCATTATTTGGACATATCCAGGACCATCCATAATATTTTTAATCCAATATATTGGACCTACGCCATAGTACGAGAAACATGCCCAAATCATTATATTATGTCCGCCATGTTTGATCGTTTTAATGCAATATTTGGCATGATATTCGGTGTTAGGTGGTCTTCTAACGTACTGTCGAGATCCTTTGCCACCATAAAGGACTATTTTCGACTCATCCGACCACAAGATGTTACGCCACTTTTCAACTGACCAGTTGACATGGCTCTTTGCAAATTTCATTCTTGCGGCTATGTGCTTCTTGGTGTGGAATGGAATTTTCCGTGGACTGTGGGCAGTCAAATTTTGCTTCTTTAAAAGACGACTTATTGTTGGGATACTTGCGTCCAAGTTAAGCTCATCCTTGATTTCTTTGCAGCTTGCAAAAGGATGCTTCTTCGAGTACCTTGCAACACGTGTAGCCAGTTTATCGGCTAGAACTTGGGGTCGGCCGCGGGTTTCCGGCTTGGGTGAAAATTTTAGTGCATTTCGGATCATGGAAGCACCGCATCCAATTATTTTTTGTACTTCCTTGTACGTTTTCCCACTTGAAATCAAGTTTTTGATCAAATCACGCCGCTCAGGTGTGCAATGTTTGCCACGACCCATTGCTTTAAATTTTCGATCTTAAACGTTAAAATTGTAGTTGGATATTAATCATTCTATACTTTTAAGCCGTTTTTTTAAGAATAATTACCTTTTTTTGCGCTCTGAACAGATTAAAATGGCACACTCCTATTATTTTGATGAGCGCAAAATGAAGTTTGTTTACGAATTTGGGTAATTCTCAGAAAACGAAGATAGTAAAATGAAAAAATAACGGTACCTCAGAATGTGTATCCATAAACAAATTTGGAAAAAGAAATAAAATTGAAAAAAATGAACGCATAACATTGCTACAGAAGGGACAAGTGCATATGCAAAAGCACTCCTATTATTTTGAAAACAGCTGTATATGCTTTTTTTCCATCCGTAGTGAGTGAATCCGTATATGCCTCGAGTGGCGGATGTTGGTGGCAGCTCAACAAGGATGAATTCAGGGTAGTGGATCCTTCTGCGAGGTTTCTGCATTTCGCATTTCAGCATTTTTTGCGGTGTGCTTTTGGGGGCAGGAAAAGTGAATTGCCCTGGTATTGGTGCAAGTCAGCAGGGATAAGATTTTTATTCCAAATATTAAATACTGTGATGTGCATTTATTTTTTTTTCGGAATCTGGCAGTGAGTGGCATGGGTCGTTAGATGAGGTTCCCAGTTGTCGAAAATTATTCTCATCTTTCACCTACAAATTTCAGTATTTTAACCCTAGCAAGGAAAATAATGGCCAGAATTTGGAATGTCATACCTCGTTAAACTCGTAGAAAATTTTGATTCGATAAAAAAACGAGGTTCCCAGTTTTCCAAAACTGTGCGCCTTTTAATTGTAGGTCACTATTTAAAATAATTAAAATAATATTTGTCCAAAAATACAATATGCGGGGTATTTATGCTCATTGTTGCCGCACTTCCTTTTTCTGTCTTTCTAGAGCTGAATTAATATTGTTTTTTTTTTTCATTTTGCTTTAATCCCTCTGTGGTCGTTAGACAGTCAGCAGAAAAGCGTGCTACAAACATTAGAATTACTTTAATATTTTCACTTTTTCATTTCCCTTTACTATCATTTAAACAGAAACGCGTAGAAGCCGTTCCAGTCAGCAAGTCTTTATGAATGCAAACGCGCATTTGTTTCCAAAAAAGGGAAATTTACGTTGGCAGTTGCAATCCCCTTTTGCGTGTTGCAGGGGATTTCGCACGATTTCCTGTTTGCCACGGACGCTTTTCGTCCATCCACGAAACCCACTTCCTGTGAATCCTCACCCACCACCCAACAACCACCTCCAAACGGCACGTCCTTCGCACGTTGCAAATGAAAACAGGTTCGGCTTTGCTTATATATAAAAAAATTTATTGCATTTAACTTGTGTGTGTTGAAGAGAGAAGAATGAACGAGTTTTTCATGCTTAACGGCATGCCAAAGGTGGGAATCTTAGCACTAAATGGGTTATTCCTAAACTTGAATGAATCGCGTTGATATGTCATCTGCTTGGTTCGTTGGTATCGACTTAGGATCTACACTTAAGAGCTAACGATATGTTGATTTGGTTGCTTGCAATCGTTTCACAAATATACAATTAGATGCTGAAACCGAAGACTACGTAGATAATACAAATAATCCAAAGTGATCTTGAAACCTCAAAAGATATTTAATTTCCAAGGCTTTTAGTTCACTTTTGAATATCTTAAAACTATAGTTAGAATACCGATAACTAGTTCATACTCATTTCATCCTTTCGTTTGGTATGCAAATGGATGAGCTTACAGACTAAACAAATATCAAGCTTATTTCTTTTCATCAAACTAAATCTCTTTCGAATCGAATCGATTTCGATCTGTTTCGTTTGGATGGCCTAGCAGTTCATGTAGTTTGGTGCCTCCTCCTCTGTTTTCGATTCCTTCTCCGGTGGAATATCCCCCACATTCTGGTAGACCTCCGCTTGCACCTCAATGCTGCCCACTTGGGGACAGGGAACTGGGATCTGTTTCGGCTTGAAGGAGCTGCATCCGCTGGCGGAACTGCTCTTGGTCAGCTTGCCATAAATGATGTTCGATCTCTCATTCAGCTTAATGGGTTGCAGGGTGACTCCGTTCTGATTCTGGTAGTGCTGCGTTTCCGCCTGCTCCTTGGCTTCCATGATGGTGTTCAGGTAGTTACTGCTCTGCGAATTGGCCAGCGGTTGGCTGCCATAAACCGGAATGTTCGAGGGGAACATCTGGTAGTGCTCGGATCCCGTGGGACTCGTCGGGGTGTTTAGTCGCTGGCAGCTGGACATTGGCGAGGGGAACACAATCTGATGGCGTTCATCGCCTGGCGTTGAACTGGGCGTGAATACAGGTCTGGGTGGCGGTGGCACCAAGTAGTTATCCATCATGCGGCAGTGCGGAAAACGGCGATCCTCGTGATCCGAGTGGGTACCCGAATCTCCCAGCGAGGCGCCACTGCAATTGCTGCCAGTGCTCAGTCTTCCCGAGGAGGAACTCGAACTGGAAACACTCTGCAGACTCAGCGAACTGATGGGTCGTCCTGCTCCCACCGAGGCACTCGCTCCCACTCCTCCACCGCTCGACTTGAAGCTACAGCTGGTGGCTATCGAGGATTTGGTCTCGTCCAGCAGGCTGTCATTTCCTCCCGGCGTTTTGGATCGCGAAAAGAACTTCTTGATCCGCTCGAAGGGAGTTTCCCGCTTCAGATGCGTCTTCACCTGCTCCTGAATCCGTTCGTATTCCCTGCGCAGCTGGTCAATCTGGTCCTGTTTCTCCCGGAAGCTCTGCTGCACATCGTTGCGGTGCTTCCACCGCTCCACCAGCAGCTCCACATCCCGAATGGAGAGCACGTTGTTCTTGAAGTCGTGCATAATCTCGGCCAGCTCGTCGTCGGCATTGGATCGCGTGTGACTGGCGGCGGAGGCATCGCTGGCACTTCGCTTCAGGGTTCCATAGCCCGGCTGTCTGTTGGTGCAGCGGCTCAATCGAAGCGGCTCCTCAACGGGACGATTCGAGGGCTGGAACAGGTAGTTGCCATCATCCTGGCTCACTGGCACATTGGAGGGCTGCAGCACGTAGTCGTTGCCCAGTTGGTTCTCCAAAAGTTGCGAGCACTCCTGGCTGAATTTGTCGGTTTGATAGAGAGGCGAGGCATCCACCTCATCCAAGGACTTAACCTGGTGATTCTGCTCCTTGGATTGGTAGTAAGGCGGCTCATTTATCCTCAGTTCATTGGTTGTTTTTTCCGGTCCAGGTTGACTTCCCGCTTCGGGCAGTTTCTTCTCGGATTCCACTTTCTTTTCGGCCACCGAAGCCTGTAGGTTTTCATCCTCCGTTTCCACACTTATGTAGTTGAGATTGGAAATGGCCATGGTCTCCGTTTTGTTCCTCACTTCGGGTGTGTTTTCCCTCTCGGAGCCACTGGACATCTCCATGTATTCCGTGGAGGGCAGTTCCTTCGGTGGCTTGCTGGTTTTTCCCTTGCCAGGAAGGGCTTCAATCACCACATTTGCATTTGGTTTGGGATTACTATCTCCTGGTGGAGTGACTCCCTTGAAGTAATGGTACATGGTGGTCAGTTCATGGAACTCCGCAAAGCTCACTATATTCTGGGCCAATTTGTGATGACCCTCCTGTTCGGCCAACTCAGCTGGAGTTCTTCCCGCGCAGTTTCTCACGCCACAAGCGGTGTCGCCACCCGGGCACTCCATCAACTGGATGCACAGGCGATTCAGACCCCAACGGGCAGCAAAGTGCAGCAGAGTGGGATACTCCTCCGGACTGGATTCCAATCTTGTGAAGAAGTGCGGCTGCCTTTCGCTGGCTCCGCTTAACAAATGGAAATTGGGTGGCATATTCCGCTGGAAACACTGCAGCAAATGCTGATCCAAGGGATCCCTTTCCACTGGTCCAATTCCCAAGGCATGGCACATGAATTCAATGGGTGAGTCCTCGATCCTTAAGAGCTGCTCCAATTCCCGCAGGCGACTCTCGCACTTGATGGGCCTGGCACCCAAGCTCTTGTTGTTCTTCTCGATCCGGATCTCGATCATGGTGGAGATCTCCATGCAGGCTTCTGGGATGGAGAACTGCAGGGTGTAGGGATTGCGGCACTTGAAGTTGCGCAGCTCAATCAGTTCGCCAGATTTCTCCACCAGGAGTTTCAGGGTATCATTCTTCTCCAGGGGTTCCGCCAGCAGAGCAACCACTTTATTCTGACCCAGTTTCACTTTCTTGGGCAGCACAGTGAATCCTTCGCTGCAACTCGAGAAGCTGCGCGACAGGCCACCACTTCCTCCTCCAGAATTATCCTGGCAGGGCGGTCGCTGGCACAGAGCTCTTCCCAGGATATCGGTGGCTATGCCCAGGATATTGCTGATCTGCACTTGATCGTTATCCCTTACGACACACCTCCGCCACTTGTAGTAACTCGGCAGCGCCGTCTTGTGCATCTCCTTCACCTTCTCCTCGCCGACGTCCAGCAAAATGGCCAGGACCTTCTCCACGCGAATGATGGCCGAGAGCTGCGTCATCAGGAAACTGTGTGGCAGGGCCAGCAAGGCGGGACACAGGATCACAATCTGCAGCGCTGTGTTCTGGTACTTTTGGGCGATATCCTCGCTGAAGGGACCATCGTCAATTTTAATGTGCAGAAAACTGGGGAAGGAAAAATAAAAGGGATTAGTTAAAGTATTAGAATTATGAGTAAGTAAAATTTATAAAAAATTTAATGAGATTTAAGAAACATTAGTATGCTTTAATAATAAATACTTAAAGAGCCATTTTAAAATATCAAATTAACATAACAGGCCAATATATTAAACAAGATTTGTAATGATTTGGACTTGTGTTCAAATAAACTATCATATTATATTAACTTTAAATCGAGCAAAAATTCTGAAAAATCTTAAAATGTTTTCTAATTTATTTACTTATTAATTAATTTTTTATTTATATATAATGCTCACTTGAATGGTTTCCGTCCGCGCTGCTTGGTGATCTTGTCGAAGTGGTTCTTCAGGAAAGTGGCCCGCAGATAGGCGCGCTCGCTGTGCTTGGCGGTGATGATCAGGATGTCGTCCATGTTATAGCCGGTGGGTCCAAAGCAGCCGGATGCACTCGCTCCACTCGCGTTGTTCACGTTGCCACAGTTGTCTGCAAAATGAGCGGAAAAGATCGTGGGACTCGGTCAGTGAAATTGACTCGAAAACTCGAAATAACTTCGAGGAGGAGTTGCTGATAAGCAGCCACTGGCCCAAGGCGACCTCCTCAATAATCTCCCTTCGAGTGCATACAACAACATTTATTTACAGTCAGTGTGTCTGCGATAAATAATGTGTTTACTTAGGATTTGACCAACTTGATTTGTGACCTCTTCAAATAGTCCCTTTTCTTCCGGGAATTTGACTTTTTGGGCTCTCCAAGCGCCGCTATTATACAATTTGAGATAATCAAGGACGCGATGGGAAAGTGTGCGTATACCTAAGTGAGGCACTGTGTCACCTGAATCAAAATAATAATAATAATAACTTATCTCTGAAGGGTCAGGTATTTGGGAATGGGAACAGCGAAAGGAACGGAATTTGTAAAGATTTTAAAAATGTCCTGCATCCAGTAAAATGATATTTTTAATTTCATATTATATTTTGAAAACCTCAAAATTATTTACACATTTTATATAAATTAATCCACAAAATATTCCTTATTTCATCAGTTTTTTCACACACTTGACACTCACTCACAATCTTTAATCCCAAAGAATAATATTCAGATAGTTATGTTGTAAGCTTTTATGGATTCTTGCTCAACACTCTAGGAATTCGGAGATAATGCCAGGAATCTGTTGCACTTTCCACACACCCACATTCCGCAGTGACAATCTCATCGCGACTGCCCAAAGCTACTTAGTTGGATTTGGATTTTAGTGGAAGCAAAACAAAAGATCTTCGGATGAGACTAAATAAAACAACATAAATTTCCGGGGGGAGGAGGACAAGAGCACGTATCTCCCTATTCTCCCGTTTTAGCCAAATAAATTAGACTGGACTAATCAGTTGTGTTGTCGTCGAGCGTTTTTCCTGTGGCAGCTTCAGGTTGCCCCATAAATTCAGTCACGTTTGGCGCATTTAAATAAATCTCCACAGGCACACGGATGCTGCACACACACACAAACACTAATACACACACGCACATACAGAAGAAGTGGAGACAAAACGATGCTATCTCCTGGCCAAACCGAAATCCACTGTTGCATTTGCCGGAATCTGAACTTCTTGACACCCACAAATGGCGGCGACGCCAGCAGAAGTATCTCTATCTTTTCGCTCTTCTTATTCCTTTTGCCTCTGCGCCTCTCTGCTTCGATGTTCCTGCCCAGATATATAGTTCCCTCCCTGCAGCTGGTGCTCATTATGGGGCAAAGGAACTGGAACTCGACTCCATATGATGTGGAAGTACAAAAATAAAGGGGCCACAACTGGATATATTTTGCTCCATTTCACTTCTGCCTCTCTTCATATGCAAAATATTGTCAAATTTTATTTGATTGCCTCTAAAAAATAAAAGAGCAGACCCCTGACAACATAATTAAGTGGATCTGTGGGTAGTTTCCAAAAACTTTGCTTCGGCCCTTTTCAATGATTAATTACTGTGACCGCATAAAACTTTATCCTGTCCGAGTGCACAGGAAAAAAAGAAGAATTTTATAAATAGCAAAATAAAATTAAGTTAAATTTTAGGATTTTTGAAAGCCATGATTTTTTGTTATGTGATTTGTTTGTTTAATCATGAAATTACTTCTGCTTTCACTTTGTTAGCTTGGCTCATACATTCAATCAATTTTGATTTAGAAAACCCCCCAAAATAAATTTATAAAAATTTCCATTTCAAGTGAGTTCCTTTCCCTTTCCATTGCCAACATTTGTTTTGAGTTGTTGATCCTGTTCGCTCCGCTCCTCCGCCGACTTTGGCCTTAATGGCTTTTGTTTCGTTTCAGTTTGCTAACTTCGATTTTTGTGACTGAGTTGGAGGAGGCGGAGGTGGAGGAGGCTGTCGCTGCGGCTGCATTGAAATTTATTTCTCAATTACATGGCAGACGACAGTTTTGCGACAGCAGAACTGCAGAGCGGCGGCTACTGAAAATTGCAGCGAAGGGAAAAGCGAACAGTCTGACATTGAGTTGCTCCGTGGACTATATATTCGGAATGGCTGAGTGCAGGAACATCTGGTAATTGTTAAATCGCTCCTCCTTCAAGACGAAGACAAAATGCTCCCTTTGTTCATCATCTTTGCGCTGCTTTGTTTCGCGTTTTGCAACTTGCAGCTTGCAAATTTGCCGCGCATTTTCGGCTGTGATCGATCACAATTCAATGGACCTCGTATCTTGCAGCTGCATCCCAACCAGCCAACCCGAGAACTCACTCATCTCCATGTCCACGTAGTCCTCCTCCGTGGACTCCCTTCGCTGCCCCGAAACGCAACTAAAGAGGCGACAACTGCCCTTGGCTGCCATTTCCCCAACCACATCCACTTCGATTTTGATTTCGATTTTTTGCGCTTCGAATTTTGCTCGGAATTTTCGTTAAACACAATGTTTCAATTGTCAGGCGCCGCGAACCGACGACTCGAACATTGCGCTAATTGTCGTCGCAGCATCCACATTTCGAATGGAACTGCTCGGTTCAAAATCATGGGGCTGTGGTTTGACCCACCGCAAATCAGCGGCTGCCTAGGATTACGCCTTTAATTAATTGATTAAAACTAACGCAGCCACTAAGCAGCTGCGAGTGGGAAGCTGTGGAATCTGGTTTCATTTGGTTGGATTAGAGTTAGAGCTATAAAGCTGAGATTCAGTTAAGTCACAGTCTAAATGAATTCTTTGTTTTATTTAATTGCAAAGATTTGAGGATTCCACAAGTGTTATTTGTTTAGACATTTAGCTTGTCTTACCATAAAATATTTACTACTTTTTAAGCCACCACTTCCACGAAACCAAATTTTGTTCATTTCCAAGTAGCTGGGCATTAAAGAAGGGCCCCCATATATTCCCAAATAATTCATCAAAAATGTTCTTATAAGTGAATTTAGCCCAAGCTCGCTGGATTTTTATGATGATGTGTGGAGAAGTGGTAAAATGCATGAGGGGATGGATAGCCACACATTTTGGGGAGAGGCAATTTGAATAAATGCCAACCGTTGATGGTGACACTTTTTGTGTTTTTTTTGTTCGTTTTTAGCAGAGACATAAATCAACGAAAGGCGAACAGAAAAATATAAATGCGGGATTAAATGGACTGCGGCCACGAAATGCAGAACTCAGTGGGTTAAACGGGGGGTTTTTCGAGGGGCCAGGGGCCACCGGACGACACACAAATTAACCCTCCCCCTTCGAGAGTCAAACAAACAGCGAATAACTCAAAATGCGCACATGTATGTGGATACATACCATAACAATTATCATTTAATTATGTCAACTGTAACTTAATTATGCGCATATATCTTTTAATTTGAGGCCAGTTTGCCTCTTGGCTTTGGTTAATTGTCGACTTCCTTATGAGATTGCAGCATCGCCAATTATATGGTACTCCATCCATTCAATTTGGATGAGAACGCGCCAAATCGAGTTAAATCCTTTCTCACAGAAGTCCCTTCGCTCCGCGAGTAACCCAAATTCCGAATTTCCCAAGAGAACTATCTCCGTTCTCGCAGAGATTTGTATTAATTTAGATTTAGTTCACACTAGGCATAAATCATAAATTGTTTAAATTGTTTTAGTTCCAGTTTCGGTGCCATGTCCAGCCATTTTCCCCACCGCCCCCTCAGCCCACCACATCGTTAAATGGAAATTGCTGTTCTCATTGTCTCTCAGTTTCCCTGCCACAATGTGTGAGAATTTCTGACAGCTGGACACCGCGGGGGAAAATGCTGAATGGGGCAGGGAAATGGAAATGGGGATGGGGATGGTCAGTCACAACGATTATAAATGACATTGCATTTGATTTGGCTCTCCGTCTCTGAATGTGCCTGCATTTGTCACTCAATTCTGGAGGCAATCTGTGTTTTCGTTTTCGGTTTTTGGGTTCGGGAGAGGTCAGTGAATTGGTCCATGCTCGGATTAATGACAGCCGAGGGCTTTTTCGGTACAAGAATAATCAAATTAAGTGAACTTAACTTGCATTAGTGGCAAACTCAAGAAAATATTCAAGGCATTAATAGTGTTGGGTTTAATATTATAGATCTCCCTAAAAAAAGAAAAGGAATATACGTATTTTAAGACCCTAATCAAACACACTGCATGAGATAATAAATAAAACTCCGCTAAAAGAACTCATTTTTTCCCGGGAAAACTTTATGAAGTACTCCGTGACCCAGTAAATGAAGAAATTTATTTTCTCATTGAAACGTCTAATAATGAAAACATTTAAAAACACATCATAAAATGTTGCATCGAGTAAGGCTTTTCCATAGCTCCCTTTTACTCACTCCCTCTGCCGAAGGAATTTCCCGCTAAAAGCAAACATAAACAACATTTTGAAATTTCACTTTCAGCCCTAAATAGCGAAACAGCGAAAACTATAGAACTACAAGAAAAATGAGGCATCGAACCGTTTTCCAAGCCATAAACATAAGGAAAACAAATACTAAATTCTGAGGAGGAGGGGAGCAGCATTTTCACGCTGCGTGCCGCGTCATGGAAAACGGGGCAAAGGCATGTGGCCCCCAGGAAAAACCCCCTCCCTCCAAAGGCCCTTTACACATGGATTTCCAGGCAGAGTTATAAACTCTCGATGGGAATGCGAAATAGGAGACGGCAATCAAAAGCCAGCGAACGGGTGAAATAAACCGAAGGAAGTTCATAAATGGCAAACAAGTAGGCAGTAAATGCATTTAGTTGGATCGTTAGAGATGGAACCTTGACATAAGCCAAGTTCAGAAATGCATAATGCATTTTTAATGCAGTTTTTACTGAATTGTAAACAACTGGGAGGTCCCCGTGGTAAAAGTTCCTCATATCTGATGTTATTTCTGACGTTTCTGACATTAATGTTTTGTTATTCCGCGCTGTCGCTGTCATAAAAGGGCTTGTGCTGCCTTCCCCCGATTTGGTTGGGGAATGTCAGACATATCCCGACTCCCACTCACACACGCATTCACAC